GGTCTGGAGACACTTGAGGAGAGACTGGGGACAGAAGCTTTGGGGAGAGAACGGAGACAGTAAGCAGTGGGAGCCCAGTGCTGACTGCTCCCCTGTATAGCAACAGCATGAGAGGACCCCATAACCTCACCCCCAGGAGGGACTCCACCCCGCCCTGTGTTGTCTAATGTGGCCTGCTGAGTGCAGAGTGACTAGATTAACAGCCAAAGGAGACAGCCACGGACAGTAGATTCCTGGAAGTCTCGAACAGACTGCCTAAGGTCAGACAGGGTCAACATCTGACATCATCAGAGGCAGATCCAGAAAGTAAAAACAGCAGTCTCCTACCATAGAAGTTCACACCACAAAGTCAGGAAATCAAGACAGATCAACTTAAGAAGCAGAAGCAAAAAAGAAGAGTCTCACATATAATGGGAAGACAAAGAAATACCCCCCACTTGAAGGGAAAGGAGGAATCCCCAGAAAGAGAACTAAATGAAACAGAGGCAAGTAAACCATCAGATATTGAGTTCCAAATAACGGTTCTAAGGACGCTCAATGAGCTCAGTGAGCTCAGAGAGAATTACAAAAAACTACAGGGAAACTATGAGGAACTTACTGCAAACTATATCATCATGAAAAAGGATATAGGAACTATCAATAAGAGACAAGAGGAAATGAAGAATACAATTTCTGAATTGAAGAACACAGAACAAGGAATTAAAAGCAGGTTAGATGAAGCTGAGGGTCGAATCAGCGAGCTGGAAGACAGGTAGAAAAAAGTTCCCAGAAAGAGCAAGAAAATGAAAATAAGACTCAAAAAGAATGAAGAGCCATTGAGGGAAATGCAGGACAACCTGAAACGTAATAATATCCGTATAATAAGGATACCAGAAGAAGAGGATGAGAAAGGGATAGAGAACCTGTTTGAAAAAGTCATGATGGAAAACTTCCCTAATTGGAGGAGAGAAAAAGTCACAGAAGTCTAAGAAGCACAGAGGGTTCCACTCAAGAGGAACCCTATGAGGCCCACTCCAAGACACATCATCATTAAAATGGCAAATATCAAAGACAGAAAATCCTAAAGGCAGCAAGGGAGAAAGAAGTAGTAACGTATAAGGGAGCCCCGATACAGCTAACAGCTGACTTCTCGACAGAAACAGGGCAAGCCAGAAGGGTGTAGCAAGAAATTTCACAGGTCATGAAAAGCAAAGCCCTGCAACCAAGACTGCTCTACCCAGCAAGGCTCTTAGTTAAAATGGAAGGCAAAATAAGGAGTTTCCCAGACAAAAGATGGCTAATACACCTCCACCAAACCAGCACTGCAAAATATGCTAAAGGGACTGCTTTAAGATGAAGAAAAAGTCTATGAATACCCAGTTCCTTTCACAGTTGCCAGTACTTGCTATTACCTATATTTTTTTAATATGTATTAATCTGATTGTGGCAATGATGTGTTATTTTAATTGTTCCTTTATTATTTGTTGAAACTAAACAATTTTTTTGTATAGTTCTTGCCTACTTCTATTTTTTTCAAATATTAGAAATAGTAAATTATTTATTTTTACTGTAAATACACATTTTAATTATCAGACTACCAGTCAAAATTATGAAGCAATGGATCAGTCTACAATGACATGAATTTTCCTTTTTATATAGCAAATACCCAGGGGTGGAAACAAATTTATGATCCCCATCCCTGGTCTTCATCCATTATTTTTAAAAAGCTTTAAATGACTTTTTGGTATTCTTTATCCATTTTTTAAATGTTTGTAGAATTTTTCCCCCCCAAAACCCCATTAACCCTTCTTTAGATGTGTTGCAAATACCTTCCTATTCTCTTCCTTGTCCTTTAACTTTTTTTATATGTATATTACTGTAGTCTTAAATGTTTATTATAGTCATATTGTCAATATTTTACTTTATAGCTTCTGGGTTTGAATATTTTACTTCAGGGTAAGAAAAATATTAGTGTGTAATTTCTCCTAAAACTGCTTAGATTCTACATACTGATTTTTAACTCACCTGAATATTCATTGTATAATGTGTGAAATAGGGCTCTATATTTGTTTTATTTCAATAGTGGTCCATGCACCTTGTTGAAAAAGCCTTATTTTACCCCATTGTAAAATCAATTACCCATTGATTTGAAATATCAACCTAATCATAGATTACATTGTTAGACAGATATATACATTTATCTCTAGAATGCTCATTATGTTTAATTGATCTGATTATTTCTGTGCTGGTGTCATGTTGGTTTAATTTCTGAGAGTTTATAATAGATTTAAACTTTTTAATATTTCATAATTAACTTTGACATTTAAAAAAAATAAAATCAATCTGCATTTAAGAGAGAGAGATGAAACTCCTACCATTTGTGACAACATGGATGGAACTAGAGAATATTAAGCTAAGTGAAAAAGCCAGTTGATGAAAGACAAATACCATATGATCTCACCTATAAGTGAACTCTATTCAACAAAATAAACTAACGAACAAAATAAACCACAGGCATGGAGCAGACTGAAAGTGAACAGAGGGGATGGGGAAGGAGGACAATGGTGGAAAGAAGGAGAAGGAACTAGATAAAGAACATGTATGAATGACCCATGGACATGGACAACAGAGTGGGGACTGACTGTGGGAGCGGGGGGTGGGGGTGGGATGGGTGGAGGGGGGTAAAGGGAAAAAAATTGAGACAACTGTAATAGAATGAATATGATTTATAAATTAAAAAAAGAATATTTAAAAATTAAATAAAAAATAACAAAATCTGTGAGGCAAGGACTCGTCAGCATTGTTGAGAAATACTGTGCATCAGTGAGATATGTCCTGTTCCTACACGGTGACTGACTCCTTCAGAGACCCAGGTTTGTTTCTGGTCTCTGGCCTCCATTTAGTGACCCTAGAAACATTTTGTCCAACGTAAAGTTCCAGGTCATCTCAAGAAGAAACTCTGTAAGTACTACAGCACTATATTGTTATAACACCTCTTGAGAGAATGAAGGTTTCAGGTCATGCACTGTACTTTTTAGTGGCAATTGTGGAATTTCATGATTATAATCATATAAACATATGAAATAAGCATATAAATATTAAAAGAAAAGATGGAAATCTTACCTTTCACAACAGCATGGACAAACCTGGCGATGATGATGCTAAGAGAAATAAGCCAGTCAGAAAAAGACAAATACCTTATGATCTCACTTGTATGTGGAATCTAATGAACAAAGCAAACCGATGAATGAAATAGAAACAGAGGCATAGATACACGGAACAGACTGACAGCCGTCAGAGGGGAAGGGGGAGAGAAGCTGGATGAAAGAAGGTGAAGAGATTAGCCAAAGAATATATATGGATAACCCACAGACACAGACAACAGTGTGGTGATGGCCAGAGGGAAGGGGTTGGGGGGGAGGTGCTGGGTGAAGGTGAGCAAAGGGAGGTAAATGGGGGGGGGGGGGGGTTATCTGTAATAGTGTCAATAAAATTAAAAAATGATTGAAAAAACTTTTTGGAGAATTCTTTATATATTCTAGATACTAAGCCTGTATTGGATATGTGGTATGCAATTACTTTCTCCAACTCTGCAGCTTGTTTTAACCTTAAGATCTTACATAGTGTTCGGGGCGGGGGCAGTTAGGGATTGAGCAAGGACGTGGACAAGTGTGCTGAATGCTGGGGGGAAGGGGGTATAAGGGGATTAAATGGCAATGAAAAAAGACAACAAAGATTAAAAAGATGCAAACTTTTTAAAGTACAATTTATTACTTCTTCCTTTTATAAATCATGCTGCTGGTGTCAAGTCTCAAGAATTCTTTACCTAGCTTTAGATACCAAATATTTTCTCTTACATTTCCGTTTAGTTTTACATTTTACATATTTTTAATTAATTTTGGATTTATATGTAAGATTTGACATTTAGGTGGAGGTTAATTTTACTTGTGGATGTCCAATTGCTCCAGCATCATGTTTAAAAGGCTATCATTCCTCCATAGAAGTGCCTTTGTCCCTTTGTCAACATGTTTTTGACATATTTGTGTAGGTTTCTTTCTGGTCTCTTTCTTCCTTTATTCTGTTCAATTGATCTATGTATCTATCCCTCTGCCAATTCCACATTGCCTTGATTATTGTAGCTATATAATAAATTTTATAATCTGGAAGAATGATTCCTATTTATTCTTTTTTGATTTTAGCTATTCTACATCCTTTGCCTTCCCATATGAATTTTAAAATAATCTTTTCTGTATCTACCACATACCTTGCTAGGACATTGATGGGAATTACATTAAACCTATAGGTCACATAAGGCAGCAATTTTCAACTCTTCATCTCATGGCACACATAATCACTAAAATTTGGTGACACACCAACATATTTTTGCTGATCTGACAGAAAAGTAGGTAGAATTTTGATTCATTCACATTGGATGGCTATTGTGTTTGCTGCTCTCATCTTTTTATTTGACATTCTAAGGGAAAAAGAGGTCAGTGCCCAACTAGTCAGGTATTGCATGTTTTAAAAATTCTTGCAGCATACCAGTTTAAGATTGTTGATATAAGGTATTTGATAATGTGGATAATGGCTAGGATTTGTATGTATAGTGTCTGGCTACACAAAAAAATAGGATGGAAAAATAATCTGCCTATATGCGAGGCTTGGGAGACTTTTGTGACCCACATGGGGCAGGGGGGCGGCATGAATCAGAATTGAGTACTAAGGCTGCAATAAAACCCACCACCTATACATCTAATGGTCATTTACACACCAGCAAAGCTCCAGCCATTTTGATTTATTCTGCTCATTTTCTAAAAGCCAAAGACAACATTCAATTGCATTAAGATTCTCAAAAGTCAACTATAAAAATAAAAGTTCTGGTCAGATAGCTCAATTGGTTAGAGCATCATCTCCATAAACCAAGGTTGCAGCTTCAATCCCCAGTCAGGGCACATACAAGAAGCAACCAATGAATGCATAAGTAAGAAAAACAACATGTTTCTTTCTTTCTCTCTCCCTTCCTCTTTCTCTCCAAAATCAATACATAAAAATTAAAAAGAAATATTTAAAATTTTCTTTGTTCTTGAGAATGCACATCAGAATATCAAGAGAATACATTTTTATTCAATGAAATAAAGACCAAGTACTACATTTAATTTTTTTCAGTATAATTTATTGTTACATTTTAGTTTGCATTCATTAAGTATCTTAGAAATATACACTCAAGGTAATTGAACTCCAGAGAGGTGCCATTAACTAAGAAGGTACAGTCTCACTTCGTCAGTGCGTCAACTTCCTAGTTAGCTTGTAGGCCTCCCCACTACACATACTTGCTCTCTTGTGGTTATTATATGTATCTGTCTTCAAGATGTGTCTAAACCTTGAATTTACATCAGACCATGTCTATGAATCCGTGAATACAGGCACCACTGCATTCAGAGTATAGCCTGCTGAAGGGTTTGTTCTTGGCAGTCACTGATGACGAATCTAGAGAGACTGGTTGTTCTCTCGGGAGAAGAAAATATACCCCACCTTGAGTGACACTTGAGTTTTCTAACAGAAAAAAAAAATAATCAAGGGGAAAGAATCAATGATAAGGATAGGGAAAATACTCTGAGAATAGAGTAAGTTCAATATATACACACTGGAGTGAGTAGTGAGACTTCTCCTGAGTCAAAGCTCTTTTACTTTTAAAAGTCTGATAAAAATTTATTCAATTACATTTTATACAGTAATATTTAGTGAACTTTGTTCAAAAGGTTATGTTTTAAGTTCATCTGTAAAAATAACAAAAGCTTATCATTCAGTCTCTGGTCAATAAGAAAGGAAGAAAACCTTGCTAGAAATAACAATAAATAATTTCACACAAAGGCCAGGTGACATAAGAATAGTATATTAATCAATATATTTTCTTTGTATTTACAATAAATCCATTTGTTAATACTGTGATAGAAAAAATAATAAATCAGTCCACATTATGTAGTAGAAACAGGCCTTGAGGATAATCACACCTCTCACAATAAAATATAGGGATTTCTCCCAGTTAAAGTACTTTTCAACATGACAGTCTTAGGTGAAGGTAAAACGGACAGAGTACTTTACTTTAGATCAGTTATAGCCTAGAATCAAGTATATTACCATTAAGCAAGCAGCAAAAAGCTGTTTCATTTTTCCAGGACTATTTAAATTTAGTAGTTACCATGTGAGAAGTTAATTATACTTTGAGTTATAAAAAGTAAAAAAGAGTAAATTGGGAAACTGCATTAAGCAAAAGCAGCCCCAAACAAAAAAAAAGCCATCAATAGAAATGAAACAAGGCATTCTTATAAGTATATCGTGCATTAAAAAAAGGATAGTTACATAATACATACTTTAATGACCAGACTAATAAATAAATGAGGTAAACTTTACAGTCATTGGAACAAATAAACTATATTTAACCACTTACATGTTACGCTGTCACTGTTTATTTCAAAATATAAAGCAATATAATTAACATCTAAAAACTGTATATGATTAATGTTTGTTTTTTGATCCCCTTTTGAGATAAAGGGAAACTGTAACAAAATATTATCTGAATATAAATTATCAACACCAATATGATACAATTATCATGTAATCACCATTTTGTATATGCACAATGTAAATACTGTGAAAGCTAGAAAAAAATGAAAATAGACTGGTCAAAATTTAAATTTCAAACTAATCCATGATAATCTGGAACAGAAAAAAGCAAAAATAAAATACACTAAACAGATATAACTTGATACCCTTTCCCAATTCAGTGGTATACTAAGTAAGATGCAACTTCTAAATAAGTCCATTACCTCAAAGGTAAAAGAGGAAGATGTAAATCTCTTTTAAATACTAGTTTTAAGTTCTATGCTCTGAAAAAAAAAGGCTAACACTAGCCTGAACTACAATGCTATTTTTAAAAATCTAGAGTTTTTACTTTTCTATATCTATTTTAATTATTAGTAAGGGATAAGAAAGAAAAATATTAAGTCAAAGATAAGTATCTATAGCCAGTTCATGAATATATCAAGTTGAATGAATCAACTGGGTCAAGAATTTCCTACAATGCTGTGTACTAATTATTTATAGCTACCCTTGGGATAGTAATTTAGAAGATGGCAATCATAACTACTAACAGCACTTTTCATAGTATATCAATTTCCATTCTTTCTTCTCTCCCTTGCCACTTAAATGCATTATTTTTACTGTCTGATAGGAAACTATTTTACAAATTCCTGTTTCAATTATCGAAGAGTTGATTTTAACACATAAACCTGCCAGTCCTGAGATGATGATGAGGAGGAGGAGGAGGAGGATAGGAAAACTAAAACCCAGATGGTATTTCACTCAAATTTCTGCTTTAGTTTTTTTTGGAAGATGGCTGGCAGGATAGAAAGTAGAGCCAAAATCATTAGAACAAATACTGAATTCCAGGAAACAGCTTCCCCTGCTGTTGTAAGTTGATATAATGTTGTTCCTGCCTTAATTGCTACAAAAGAGGGAGGTGCAACACCTAAAAAGAAACAAAACCAGTAAAAAGCGTCAATTGTTTGTCTTTTACCATGAAAATGTTCAGCAAGTATAAAATAGCTTTTAAGAATATAGTAATTTCCACTTTGGAAATTTTTAATTTAAAGTCCCTCAAGTTTATTTCCACATAAGGTAAAGGTTGGGGGGCAGGGGGAACGGAGGACACCAACATCAAGGATAAGAAAATGTAATTAGCCCTGGCTGGTATGGCTCAGTGGACTGAGCGCTGGCCTGCGAACCAAAGGCTCTTGGTTCAATTCCCAGTGTAGGGCACATGCTTGGGTTGGAAGCCAGATCCCCAGCAGGGGAGCAACCACACATTGATGTTTCTTTCCCTCTCTAAAAGTAAATAAATAAAATCTTTAAAGAAAAAAAAAAAAACCCTTAAAAAAAGAAAATGTAATTAGCCCTGGCTGGTGTGGTGTGGCTCAGTGGATTGAACACTGACTGCCCTGTGAACAAACAGGTCGCTGGTTTTATTTTGGTTAGAGCACATGCCTGGGTTGCTGGCTAGGTCCCCAGCTGGGGGTGGGCAAAAGGCAACAGGTTAGTGTTTCTCTCATACATCAATGTTTCTCTCTCTCCCTCTCCTCCTCCTTCCCTTCCCCTCCCTCTAAAAAAATAAATAAAATCTTTTTAAAAAAATCTAACTATATTCAAAGTACATGCAATTTTACCTCATTTTAATTTACATAAAAATGTAAAGCAAAAATTTTTTTTTTAATTTTAAAGAATTAAATTTTTCACAATCACCTTTTATGGAAATAAATTTAAGAACTCAAGAAAAGTTTCTGGAAAAAAATTTTACACTAATGAACATCCTTAAAAGAAGACTGTGCTCTGATCCAGCAATTTCAACTTTAACAAATAATGTGTATGAGCAAAGATCTCAAGGATGTTCATCAAAGCATTATAGTAATAAAAATCTGGAAATAATCTGAATGTTCAAAAATAAGACTGGGAAAATGGTCCTGCACCCTTGACAGAATACACTTAAAATAAAAATGAAGTGGTAGGAGATACTCAGAAATGAAATGGTACTCTATATTAGTAAAAAGAATTTATACAAGAGCATATGCAAAATAATCATATTTCATTAAAAACCAGAACTGAAAAAGCTGCTTTAGCCAAAGCTGAAGTTAACTAAATCCCTAGGTATTTCATCTGTAATATAAGGAGATATGGACAAAAATTTCTCTTTTGATTCCATGAACATTAATTTACAAAATCCAAAATTACCTCTACTGAGATTTTTAAGTTTGTCAAGGAATTTTTTTTTAAAGTAGCAATAAAAATTGGTTTTGGTTATTCTTTTCAAAAAGATGTATTTTAACAATAAATGGACACTCAGAATCTGCTCATTTTGTTTGTAGCTAAACAATTCAACTTAAATTTGAAACAAAAGCAGAATACTCTAAGGGACTGTTTGAATTTATAAAATATATAAAAGAATCTTAATGTTCATTGTTTAATTTCAAAAATAAGCACAGCTCCTTGAAAGCAAAATGTTTGTTAATCCCTGCTTCCCCCATACATTTTGGTAATGTCCATAATAAATATTGATTTCAATAAAACAAAAAATAGTATCAATTCTCTACTAGAAATTAAAGTTGAAAATTTCAGTGTTTGATTAGAGGATAGAGGATAAAATTATTCAAAAAAGGCACCTTGAATTTTTTTTCTCTCCACTGAAGGAGAGAATGGAATTTAAAAATCCAGCTTAATCCTGAATGATTAAAAAAATATATAGTAGAAAATGTGCCTGTTTAAAAGAAGTTAACACACAAATACTTAAATTAAGACAATCTAACAGCCCAGGCCAGGTGGCTCAGTTGGTTGCAGTGTTGTCCTCTACCCAGGTTTGATTCCTGGTGAGGGCATATACCTAGGCTGCCATTTCAAGCCTTGGTTGGGACATGTATGGGAGGCAACTAATCGATGTTTCTCTCTTTCTTTCTCTCTCAGATCAATAAAAACATATCCTCAGGTAAGGATTAAAAAAAAAAAAAAAGAGGAGGACACTCCAACAACCAATTCTGAACATCTATTTATATAGACCAGGCCTTATGCCATGGTCTGGCATGTCTGCAAAGAGCATCAAGTCTAGCCCAGCTGGACACTGCTAGATACATATATGTACACAATCAGTTCTAACACAGAGTGAACCAGAGACCTTACCTAGAAAAGTGCCAATAAAAAAAACTTTCAATGGCACATTTATCACAGGAGATGTAATATTAATAAACCAGTTAGGCAGAAATGGTGTTATTCTCAAAAATATAATGTAGTTAATAAGGTGTTCTCTGTGACGTTCAACCTGTCATAAGAAAGAAAGAATTGGGATCAAGATAAAGTCAAGCTTGAAAACAATTTCTTTAATATAAAATACCTTATTTTACATTCTCATACTTGATAGTTAAATTATCTAATAGAAATGATCAAAAAGGTACTTGAAAATGACAATGAACTACTTATCAAATGCTCACTACCAGAGCTAAATAATATGGGGTAAGAGTTGTTTGTTTGTTTTTTTTAATTGTGTTTATAGCTTAATGTTATTCTACTGAAGATGGCTCTACATCAGCCTAGATCAGTGATTTTCAATCGGTGTGACACAGAGGCACACTGGTATGCCGCCAGAATTTTTAACACACACAACATATGACTTATTTAGTCAAGGGCACTGACCTCTTTTCCCTTAGACTGTCAAATAAAAAACTGACAACAGCAAACACAGTAATAGCCATCTGGTGTGAATGAATCAAAATTATGTCTATTTTTTTCAGATTGGCAAAAAACACTTTTTGTGTGTCACAGAATTTTAGTGATTAGTTTATTATGTGTGCCACAAGATGAAAAAGTTGAAAATTTCTGGCTTAGGTAATGATGGCTCAACAATGACATTTTAAACCTAAAATGGCAACATTGAACTTATGACCAGATATAAGAAATGCATTAGGTAAACAACTTTTTAATGCCTTTAACTTCCTACAATGTAAAGCGCAGGTATAACACATCAATATACCCAACCTCCAATTTTTTAAAAATTCAGATCTTTGTTATTACAATATATATTGCATAAGTAAATTCATGATTGATAAATAAGATTAAACAAGTATATGGAAATATTTAACCAATGAAATATAAGCAATGATTACATTATAGTTAATACCTCCTTTGAACTAACAGAAAATAGCTATCCCAAAAATACATGAAAGATAATTTTAGTATTCAGTACATATGTGTTATATAAGAACAACACAAAAGTCTACAGACCAGAGATTGTAGGCCTTGGTTTACAAGTAAATGACTAATTTTAGGGCAAATGCTTAATTTCTGTTAATACGCTAACCAATAAAAAGGGATTAGGCAAAGATGATCTCTAAAACTCCTCTGAGATAATGTTTCTTTTGATTCTTTATAAAGAGAGGATTTTCTTAGCAACACTATGTTAGGCTTTTCTGTGCAGTATTGCTTACAATATTGCTAGTCTGTGCAGAGATCCTGACTGAAGATAACAGTTGTTCCCGCTAGTGAAACACATCAAAGGATTTGGCTGACACAAGTTTTTAGTGACCCACTGACATCAACACAAAACAGGTGAGGTATCTACCATGTGGATGCCTTTACACAGAACATTTTGACTTCTATGCTCTAACATAACTTACTAAAAATGAAGAATTAACATATAAAAACTTAGATCTGAAAACATCAACATTCATTTTTTACCACCCACTTGATTTTATTTTGGTCAAAAGATCATTTTTATTAAAGCCCTGAGACTGAGTTAATTTATGTAGGGGCTATATACTGACCTTCACGATTAGCCAAAGAATTACATTAAACAATTTTAAAATACATGATTACCTGCTGTGACCATTTTACTGCTTTCTCCGTTAGGTATTTGTATACAACTGGTCTCCCAACTAAATAGGAGAGCATATAGCAGAATGAGGCACCGAGTCCAGAACACTAGAAAACAACAAGAAGTCATATTTGGTACTCACTTGCATGGATATATTCACCTAAGGAAAAGCTAAACTAGTTTACTTCTTTTGGGGCGGGGAGAGGATATTCTGCATGACATCTCTTGTGCAGAGAGCAAGAACCAATTTGATCTAGTCCTTCCTAGTCCAAATTGTAACTAAAATGAGATCAGCTACAACAAACTGGGACTTACTGGCAGTTAAACTTAATGACTCTATCCAAATAGTTCATGTTAGCTTTTAACCTAAGAATAAAAGTCCAAAAGCAAATTTTTTTCTTTCAATTAATTATGCTTGAAAACACCACCTCCAGCCCTGGGACCTAACTCATTTTGCCCACTTCTTGGACTATTAGAATTATAAACCACAATACGAAGCAAAGGTTAAAACTGAGCCTATAAATACAATTAAATCTATGACATCCTTGTTCCAGAAAAAAAACAACTATGTAACACTTCCTTATGGAGGAACTTAACAGGTTAACATTAAATGTCTCTTAAACCTAATGAGTTTATGCTTAAATGAGACTAGTAATGCCATCCTTCTCCTCCTCATTCTATTTAAAGCTATGCTTTTTCTAGTCTCCCAATTTCATTTCATATACTTACCAAACAAACAAGAAATAAGGCTAGAGGAAAGGGATAAAGAAACCCTGAGAGTATGCTGAGAAATATAGAACCTGGAATAGCAAATGTTTGCAAGCTGTTAACTTTTAAGTTAAGGATTAAAACATAATTAAGCAGAATTTTTAAAAGACAAATCCAACATTTCAGGAAAATAGTATCAATACATAAGTTATCATGTCAAGTTACAGTATTAAAAATAAAGTAAAAGTATGTCTAAAAGTGTAAAAAATATATATAACTCCTCAGTTATAATTCCTTTTATCTCTAAATTGACCATTCACTAACATGTGCCAGCCAGGGGTTAGGCACTTTGGCAAAAAAAAAAAAGAGAGAGAGAGAGAGCGCACGCATACCACACAAGAACAAAAAAGGTCTTCAATAATCTTTTAAATATGCTTCTTTAATGCACTGCAGTTACTCCCAAATTTTTTCAAGAATGATGGAATGATTTCTGTGGAAATTTCTAATTTAACTTATAGACATTTGCTTAAGTTCACTAATATAAAAAAAGATAGGGGTTACAAAATATAGTAAAAATCACAAATCTTATTTTAAAAACAATTATGCTTTTTCCTACTTTTGTTTAGTTTTCAGTTTTGGCTTTGTCCCCTTTCTAACCCCGACATAATTTACACATAAGGACAGTCAGGCTGTATGAACTCCTTCAAAATCTCTCCTTTCTACTTGAAAATTTCTGTGTTCATCCATTAATTCTCTTGTTCTTTCTCTAGTTCCCACTTTACTCATGTTTTCACTTTAATCTTCCTTCTGGGTTGTTTCTTCAGCCTCCTGTTCTTTCACAGGATCTGTCCTGTATAAAACCCCTCAGATGCCTATGAACCAAAGAAAATCGAGGCTTTCCTTGACTGAGGCATCCTATCCAGCTACTGCCTCTCATCTTTCTTCCTCCCGGGACACTCTCCTCTTCCCTTACAACCTGGCTCACACACCCACCCACCAGTCTACTGAAACTTCCTCCTGGCCAAAATTAATGACTTTTTCTCAAGTCATTTTTTTTAGTGATTCCTGCAAAGAATTAAACATCCTGTATCATAAAAAAAAATTTTTTATTTTTCTTCTGCATTACAGGTCATTCCATCTTGTTTGTTTCTTCTCCTCACCCTCGAATCTGGGATTTCTCTACCATTCTGTTAGCTATACTCTTCTCTCTCTTTCCTTTGATAAATTTGGCAATTTCCATGGCTTCGAGTATATATGGCCATATATATTCTGACAACTCTGAAGTCTCTCTCTCTGATTCAACTTTTCCAGTCAAATACCAGTCCCAAATTTTCCATCTGTCTACTGGATGCCTCCATTAAAAATAAAAGAGGAAGCAAGAACAAAAATAGTTTGAGAGAATTAGCAAAGTAATTTGCCTTTTTAAACTAAAAGCTGGTTTATTTTATTTTTAAAATAAAAGCATAAGGATTACTGTCATAACATCAAGAGATAATGTCTTTCATTAATTGAAAATATTTGAAAAATAGAATGGATCAGATTAAAGATGCAGCCCGGGCCAGGTGGCTCAGTTGGTTGGAGCATCATCCCTCACACCAAAAAGGTTAGGAGTTCAATTCCACTCATGGCACATACCTAGGTTTCAGGTTACATCCCTGGTCCAGAGTTTATGGGCGGCAACAGATCAATGTTTCTCTCTCATATAGATGTCTCTGTCTGTCTCTCCTCCCTTTCCATCTCCACCCCCTCTCTCTGTTCCTCTCAAAAATCAACAAAGTAAACAAGTCCTCCACTTTAACCACTTGAAGGTTAAAAAAACAGAGAAAGAACAAAAGATATAAAAATCAGAAATTAAAGTCCACAATTAGATTAATCACTAGTGGCATAAACAGCTTGAAAATATTTAGAAAGAATAAAGTTGTTTCCCTGACCAGTTAAAAATACAACATATATTTTCATAAAACAAAGAAATACATACTAAGTACTATTTTAAAAATCCATATCCTTTGAATAACTAATTATCCTCTCAGGATTTTTTCTTTTTTTACAAAGAAAACCATTAAATGGAAGAAAAGTGTCATAAACAAAAAGATTCATAACGTAACATCTAAAAAACCAAAAAATTAAATACAATTATATCTTCAAACCTAAAGGAATTTTAACAATTATGGTATGGTGACTACTAATTTAAAAAAATTATTTAAATTAAATTAAGACAATCAACAAATAATCATAAATAAAAGGCAAACAATTATCTCAAATAATACAAAGGAAAAGAAACTGTTTATAAGTGGATAAGCAAAGTACAATAAAACTGGTCACAAATATCCATAAATATTTACTAAGTTGAAGAGACAGGATTAAAATGAGAATATTTTGCATCTTAATTTTTCAATATTCTAGTTAATATTGTTACACTACATTAACAATTTTTAAAAGGAAAAATAATTATGTATAACCTAGCAGATCTTTTAATATCTTTTCCTTGAACAAAACTAGAAAACATTTCTCAGTTAAAAGGATACAAAATATATGTCGCAAAATAAGCCACAAGTACTTGTACATAAAAGGTGTCCTTATATTTGGATAAAACTTTTCCTAGGGCCTTGGCATCATCCATATCTCTGGGAACCTTCATATTCACTCTTTCTTCTCTAAAGAAATAAAATTAAAGTGGAAAATTTTAAAGCAGAAATTTGCCAAGACAATTAACATTATAGTCAGCCAATTTCAAAACATGAAGTTTTATCCAAAATGATGATGCCTTGATCTGTAATATATTAAGCATAAATTCACAATTAACTTCAAAAGCCTAAAAGTTGTTTTTTAATGAATTAATTAATAATATAATGAGACATGTGCTCTACATAAGAAAATTCAAGGTGACCCAAATTAATGGGTTGGCCAAAAAATTCATATGGTTTCTTCCGTAAAATGAAAGACACATTTTTCATTTTCACCAATAACTTTATTGATTTGGATATTTTGAGTATATCAGCTATCTCCTTGTGGTATAATGCTAACTATTCTCTATTAATGTCTCGATTTGATCACTATCAACTTCAACTGGTCTATCTGACCATGGCTCATTGTCCAGCGAGAAATCTGCAGCATGAAACTTCACAAACCACTTTTGACATGTCTGATCACAGTACCTTCTCCTTCCACTGCACAAATATTTTCTTGTGTTTCAGTTGTTTTTACCTTTCTTGATATAATAAAGCATACTATGCCAAAAATGTTACATATCTTCAATCTTCAATATTAAAATAGCTACACAAAAATTCACCAATTTTGATTTTTTTTAATGTACACTGATATGACAGCTGTCACAATACAGTCTAACAAAATTGTTTTGAATGAAGTTAAAGACAACTAAGAGCTACTAGAGCCATGTTATGGAAAAAAACAAATAAGCATTTTGACCAACGAATAAATGGATAAAAGCATTTGCTCCAACAGTGGTATAAATTTTGAGTTAAGAATGAACCACTGATGTTAGTAATATGTAAAACACATTTAACATCATTTTGGGTAACCTTCATGATAAGCTAAAGTCAATAATCAACTACAACTGAAGTTAAGTAAAAACTGTATTAAGTTTGCAGTTCACACCTTTTCTGGGCTATTCCAGCTCAAAGTTCAAATAAAAACTTAAACGTTTTCTATGCTGTAAACCTGAAACTAATGTAACATTGTATGTCAAGTATAATTAGAAAATAAATTTTAAAAAACATGTTTTTCCTGTTCTATTAATTTTACTTTATCATTTGGTTTCTTGTTTGGAACTGAATAATTTTTTGCTTATAAAAGGCTCAAATAATCACCTTTGCACTCATTTGTTAATGATAAAATTTAACTGACCTTGTAGAACAATGATAGACTGTTGCTTAAGTCCTATAATAGCAGGTAAACTAAAATAGGTTTCCTCATCATAAATTTAAAACTTAAAAAACTCTTTATAGGGGTGTGCATGCATGCATGCATATACACATAATACACACACAGAAAGAAATAAGCAGAATTACAAAAGATTTATAATAACTCATTATTATGTACATGTGATGCTAAGGCAGACTGAGAACAATGTTAGTCTATACTCTATATAATTTCTCTCTTTCAGTCCGCTCTTTATTTCCCAATTTCTGATCAAAACCAGAAAGAATCACCCTGACTGGTAAGACTCAGTGGCTTGGGCGTTGTCCTGCAAACTGAAAGGTTTCCAGTTCAATTCTGGGTCAGGACATATGCCTGGGTTGCAGGCCAGGTTCCCTGTTGGGGCGTGTGGGAGAGGCAGCCAATTGATGTTTCTGTCATTCATCAATGTATCTCTCCCTTTCTTTCTCCCTCCCTTTTCCTCCCTTTAAAAATAAATAAAATCTTTTTTAAAAAGTCAGAAAAAAATCTAAAATTCCATCATACTAATATTACCATAATTCAACATGCTATCCTCCCAAAGACACTTATTTACATTGATGCAAGAAATCAAAATATTGAAATATAAATAAGTTTAACTATAAATTTTCAAGAGTAAGACACTGTTAATTAAAAGAATTTACAGGAAACAGTACATTCCTAAAACCCTGAAATCACATTTCAGTGGCCCTGGTTGAAAGTCTACTACATCTTAGTTTTTTTACAAGGTCCATTTCACTGTAAAAAGAACCTACTGAGACCATATTATTTCCATAGAACAGGGAAGAAAAAAGAGCTAGGAGACACAGATGTACTGAATGAGGAAATGAGTGAATAGACGATAACAACTGGTCACGAGGACAAGTAGGAAGGGAGAAAACAGGGATGGAAAACGGAATGCAGAGATCATTCATGTTTTTCAAAATGTAGGTCAACATCTATTATGGACTGTAAAATACATTTACTTGGTCACTACTAGCATTAAAAAGAAAATGAAATAGGATAGAAAATGTCAGAAACCAACACTGGTTTCACAAAACTTTAATAACTTAGTTTTATATGTATACATGTATGCATGTGAAGGAGAAAAAGAGGAAGTAAGCACATACAGAGATACAGGATCATTAAAAAGATTAGGCCTTAATTAGAGGAGCAGTGCTAGGAAAACCTTGCATAGAGTCATACTTGGAAAGAAGTATTTAAATAACAGTGTCAATATAAATATGGAATTGCTACAGGCCATGAGAGCTGATACACAATCACCATGACAGTCTGTTGCTTAAAATTAGTTTAACTTTTAATCCACTTTCATCACTTTAAATACTTAGACATTTTCAGTTTCTTTCAGTATACTTACTCACTAAGCTGAGGAAAATTTTTGTATACCAAGAACATAACAAAAGCTGCAGATAAGAAAATGGACACCAATATAAGAAGTGACATTCTTGCTGACCCAGCTTCCGCACAGGCTTTTTCTGAAATGGAGGGGGAAAAAAAAAAGCCATACTTAAGATAAACATAAAGGAAGACAGTATTCCAAATCAGCAAATAATTTCCTTAAAGGCGTTCCTTCCAAAAGGCTGTTCACACGTTCGCCCACAACACTGTAACATTAAATTTTAAGTACAATTGTATTTGACATTTATTAACTAGGCACAGTACTTTTCTGGGCTATACCCATTTTGGAAGCATGAAAAAACAGAACACCAGAATTTGTAGCATTGGTTTGTTAATAAGCCAAAGGGGGAAAATGGGTATTACTCTAAGTGTTATCACTGATTTTCAATTTTATTATCTGTATGGGGAACAAAGAATGGCCTCTTAGGAAAATGAGGTGATCTGGCAATTACTTCAACTGTTACAAGAACCTAGAGATTTCACTAATGCAGTGATTTTTCAACCCTTTTTCATCTCATGGCACACATGAACTAATAAAATTCTGCACACATTAAAAAATGTATTTTTGCTATCCTGACCAAAAAAAAAAAAAAAAAAAAAGGTATAATTCTGATTCATTCACACTGGACAGTTATTGTTGTATTTGCTGCTGTCTTTTTTTTTTTTGGACAATCTAAGGGAAGAGAGTTCAGTGCTCCTGACTACATAGTCAGGTATTGTACATTTTAAAAATTCTTGCATCACATCACTGCACCTAGCCCAGCACACAGACTGGGAAATCACTGTGGTACTGCAATTGGTGACAGTTATACTTTCTCTTTACACCAACGGTTTCAGAATAAAGTTGAACCTCAGATGTTCTGGGTGGCTCTGTCTGTGACTCCAAGAATGGGAGAATTTGTTTACATTCCCTCACAAGGTACTCTTAACATTATCTTTAAAAGTATATGCCAGATAAAAGTATGAAGTGAGCCCTGGCTGGTGTGGCTCAGTGGATTGAACACCGGCCTGTGAACCAAAAGGTCTCTGGTTGATTCCTGGTCAGGGCACATACCAGGGTTGTGGGCCAGGTCCCCAGTTGGGAGCATGCAAGAGGCAACAGGTTGATGTTTCTCTTGCACAGCTACGTTTCTCTCCCTCTCGTTCTCCTTCCCTTTCCCTCTCTCTAGAAATAAATAAATAGAATCTTAAAAAAAATAAATAAAAAGTATGAAATGAGATCCAGGAAATAGCAAGCATCATAATGAGCAGGCTATTTCTTCCTGGAAGCAGTCAATAGTGGGAAGGCCAGAACACCTTAATAGTATTCACCAGGGAAGAGGCAGGTATAAGCAGTTCAATTTGTGTTGCTTATATTTATCATTATCACATGTATATACTGATAATACTTGGGATTGTAAAAATATATGTACTGGCCCTGGTTGGATAGCTCAGTTGGTTAGAGCATCACCTGGATACACCAAGGTTGTGGATTTGATCCCGAGTCAGAGCACATACAAGAAGCAACCAATGAATGAATAAATAAGTGGACCTACAACAACAAGATAATAAAAATTTAATAAATTAAATTAAAAATATATGTATTTTATAATTAGGATTTATTGATTTCAGTTCTGAGAATGGATCTATCACTATGCTCCCACAACTACTGTGTGGCTTTTATATGTGCTTTTATGAAGTATGCTAGTACTCTAACATTTAGCAAATCATTGTTCGTGAACATTTATAAAGGTGTATCAGACAGGTGTCACTGTCTGCTCTGGTAAGGTTCCCCTTCTCTGGAAACAAGCACCTTTCCTGTGCCCATCCCCCCTCCAAAGAGGCTAATCTCATTTGCCCTCTTTTTACCATGTGATTCCACACTCCACCCTCCCAAACATGGAAGGCTGACTTGCCCAAGGTTGGACACCTGACCCAAACAGAAACAATTCATTCCTAAAATTTTAACTAAGAAGAATAGATAGGTCTCAAGGTCTTGAGACTGAAAGGTCAAACAGTATAGGCCACTGTCAATACCTGGCAAGCCAAAGGCGTGTACCAGAAAATGTAAGAGGGGAGGTTGGAACAGAAATTCATAAAGCAGAACAATGGGAGTTATAGCTAACCTACTCAGTTTTTAACTTTGTACTTTTCTTGAAGTCTGGCTACATTATTTCTTGTTCATGGATACCAGTGAAATTATCTCAAATTCTTAGGACAACTTCCCTTTCTACTTGTGCTGGTTTAAACTGATTACTGTTCCTTTCAACCCAAAAGCCTTAACTTGCACTTTATCTTTTGTCTCACTATGGCAGTTTTATGTTACAACTGAATAAGTAAGGTTTTGTTAAATTCTATGTTGAACATAGAGCAAGAGCAACCATCTAGCCTCTTCCTACTCAAAGGATATTCTGGGAACTACAGAAATCAGTACCATCAATGAGCTTGCTGGAAATGCAGATTCTCGCCCTAGCTGGGTAGCTTGGCTGGTTAGAGCATTGTCCCAATAAGCCAAGGCTGCAGGTTCTCTGTTAGGGCACATCCAAGAATTAACCAATGAATACATGAATGGGTGGAACAATAAATCAGAGCCTCTCTCTCTGTCTCCCATCCCCCTTTTCTCCCTCCCTCCCTCGCTCTAAATGAATTTAAAAAAATTCAGACTCTCACCCCGGCCGGTGTGGCTCAGTTGGTTGGAGCATCGGCCCGTAGACCAAAAGGTTGCGGGTTCAATTGCCAATCAGGGCACATGCCTAGGTTGCTGGCTCGTTGACAAGAGGCAACAGATGATGTTTTCCTCTCACATCGATGTTCTCTTCCTCTCTTCCCCTCTCTAAAATTAATAAGCATGTCCTCAGGTGAAGATAAAGATGCAGATTCTCAGACCAATATCCCAGACCTACTAAATCAGAATCTGTATTTAAATAATATACCCAAATGACTTGTATGCACATTAAAGCTTCAGAAGCAACAATCTGGTCCTGGCTGGGTAGCTCAGTTGGTTAGAGCACTGTCCCTAACCAAGGTTGCAGGTTCAATACCTGATCAGGGCAAATACAAGGAATAATGAATGCCTAAGTAAGTGGAACAACAAATCAATGTTGGTCTCTCTCTCAAATCAATAAATAATTTAAAAATCATATAGAAGAAGCAACAATCTGGTTGACCCTACCTATTTTAAAGGTAAGTAAATAGAGGCCCAAAGGAGTATGTACTATCTATTAAATAAAAAATCCTAAGCAACCAATTAGTGTTAAGTATATCTCCAAGGCATTTTACTATCCATTTACAGGTAACTCATAATTTCTGCTGAAACACCAATTGCTTAGATTAGCGCTTTAATATACTACATATAAATTATTCTCATCTGTTCATTAAAGCAGGCTTTCTAAAAGACAATATTAGATTTATCGAGTTCTATGCGAACACTAAGGTTAAAAATTTTTCTTTTCCAATTTTCTGTAATCTAAACATATCACAAATCCTTATCATTTTAACTGCTATGTTTCATTTTATGTAATCTCAAAAAAGAATTTACTTCAAAAACCAAGTCACAAATAGAAACTTATTTGCTCGTATCATACTTATAAATTTATTGCAGGAAGAAATGGGATAACACAAAAGATGCTTTCGATGAAATAATAAACCAGGTATGCCTGTCTCTTAATATTCCAGTTCATTAATCCCCTGATGTATTTGTATATATGCTTTTCTGTAGCACAGAGAATTAAACAGAGACTTGAAACATCTGCAGTAGATAAAATATGAGATCTCTGCAGAATCTTATGACAAATGTCAAACTGTCCACTACATTTTTGTCCTAATTATGATATCTAATTCAATGCATACCTTAATGACTCATAATAAATCATAGCTACTCACCCTAAAAAAAAAGGAAAGAGTTATCAGCCAAAAGTTACAAAAATATCAAGTGTGCATTGAAACCAATTCAACCAAAAATCCCTATTTAAACAACAAACTGTTCTCACAAGGCTAAACTAGTTTTTTTCCTACTTTATTAAATAAGGAGGTACTCTACTAGAAAAAGAATAAGGGCAATATATAAATACTGAACATTTTGGTATAGTTTTCTATGGGTTGACATCAAGGCAAAGATACATTAACTTAAGTGTATAGTCTGTATGATTTTTCTGGAGGCCTATGACTTCTTAAAGATATGCTACTTTTTAATTTTATTGATTTTTTTAGATAGATAGGACAGGGAGGGAGGGAAGAGAGAGAGAGGAGGAGATGGAGGTAGTGAGGGAGGGAAGAGAGAGAGACACACAGGGAGAGGCGGGGGGGGGAGAGAGAGAGAGAGAAAGACAGAAACATCGATCTGTTCCACTTATTTATGCATTCATTCGTTGCTTCTTGTATGGCCAAGGTATGCTATTTTTTAATCTACCTGGAATTAATCTGCCTAGCCCTCACGTTCCACTTACTTCCCTGCTAGAATCAGGTAGAGAGTACAAAAAGTACTGATACAAATAATTTAATGTTATGGGTATCTTTTAAACTCTTCAAAACCATCAATAACTTTATTTATTTTTTTTGTTTTTTCATCCTATAGATATTTGTGGACACAGAATTACTTCTAAGAATAAATGGCTGATTTCCTCCCTTTCTTGGAACTCCTCTTAGGGTTATGCAAAGTATGCACTCAAATGTACAGTTGCTTAGAACTGTCTGTTGAGCATCTATTGTGTACCAAACTTTGCTCTATCTCTGCTCTTAGGAAGCTGCCAATGCCCTTAGCTAGATCCCCAGGGAGTGGTACAAAGGGGCTTTTAGTTTTCAGAAAAGCAAGATTACTGGGTTAGAGTGATGGAAGCAAGATTCAAAGAGCAGGTGGAAATTTAGGGCCTTCTAACATGTACTGTAGGTAAACATATTTTTGAAGACTTCAACAGGTAACATGGTTCTCTTAAATTAAAATTAAATAAGACATTTAGCATGCTAGCCCTAAAATTAAACTATAATATTTTCCTTCCCATTATGAATTCACCAGTACTAAGTAAGGGGCTGGTGGAGAGAAAGGTGTCAAACAACATTTAACAGACCTTCAGAACACTAACTACACTGAGGGTTGAGTACA